AACTTAGTGTGAATGATTTCATCATCAAAGCTAGTGCTCTGGCCTGCCTGAAGGTTCCTGAATGCAACTCGTCCTGGTTGGACACAGTCATTCGTCAGTGAGTAAAAACTCATTAAGAGCCACATGGAGTTTAGTTCCTACAAGCAGCAAACCGAAAACACGTTCTCCTGACTGTGGAAATATCCATCTTGCTTTGTATTCCCAGCCATTGTCTCTTTGGATCTTATCTTTAAATGAGTGCATGCATCACAGTGTGTTTACATGCCGTTGGGGAACATTACGCCAGTAAGTCATTTAAATGATAAAACCTTGTTACTGAAGGCAGAAACCATCACGGCCGAAAGCAACTAGTGCAGACTGGTGGTTCTCTCACAGCAGCCGGGACGTGTACAACCACAAGATAGATGCAGAGAAATGAAGTTAACTTGATAGGGAAGTTTAAAATTTAGATTTTTAATTTCAAGATAAATTAACTTTGTTATTTTGTTTTAATTATTGCGCTTGATTGAAACATTTCAAAGTTGGGCAGCATGATTTTAATAATCAAAGACAAAGTCTCGTTAGCACTGGTGAGGTGTCAGTTTATTTGCAGCAGAGGGGAGAGTAGCAACATGAAATTAACGTTGCTCGTAGCTGAAATTATTTCCATTTTCTGTGCTGTTTAAGTGTGCATGAAGTCACTTGCACAGTAATCAGTTTCCTACACTGCGTGAGACTTTCTTTATTTTAGTTGTTAAGATGAAGTGTGCAGTATTGATCTAGAATAATAGTGGCCCTATAGTGCACTCGTTTACACATTCGCCCAACAAGCAAAACATCCTGGTAGGAGACGCAGATCTCTTTGGGTTTGTGTCAGTAATGGCATCTGGTATAAAAATGTGCCAAATCAAAACCCGCGGAGCTACTCGCTGTGGCCACCTTTTGTGAATAACAGAGTGCCTGAAAGCAGCTTGTTGACTTAGAATAATAATGCAATATCTCCCTCAAGTGCAAAGTGCAATAGTTACAATGCCTTTATTAGACTTCCCATTATGTTGGTGTGCTCCACTGCCTACTTGTATCATTGTTAATGCTGCTATTAGCACTATTTACCTCTCTATTTATAGTTATTTATGGTAGTATAAAACATATTGTTATACTTTTATTCTAATAAGAGTGCCTGTCTGTAAATATAAAGTTCACCAGTGCTTCCAGTTGTGTTGTATGCTCGTGCTTAAATGACAGTTATCTTATTGATGTGATATTTCTCGGGTTGGCAGTTTCAGTTTTGCCAGCAGAGAGCGCTCGGAATAAGTCTTTCAGTTTCGAAAGGGTCTCCTTGAAGCGAGAACTGCGCCGGCATCTGTAATGACTTTATTTATGTTTTCCAGGAATCACGTGGTGGATGTGAGTGTGGCCGTGAGCACAGCCAGTGGCCTCATCACGCCCATAGTGTTTAACGCCCACATCAAAGGACTGACCTCCATCAGCTCAGATGTGATGGCTCTCGCTGGCAAAGCAAGAGACGGCAAACTGCAGCCTCACGAGTTCCAGGTAAGGCTTTTTAATATTCTGACTGAGTGATAATTTTATTTTATTTTTTTTCCTTTCTTCGCAAACCTAAATTGTCCTCTTTATTTTCCCAACCAGGGAGGTACATTCACGATCTCCAACTTAGGCATGTTTGGCATCAAGAACTTCTCGGCGATAATCAACCCTCCTCAGGCTTGCATCCTCGCTGTCGGTGGCTCAGAGAAACGCCTCATGCCTGCTGACAACGAAAAAGGGTCTGTGCATTTATGTAGTAATGTAACAGAATGGCATGGTATCATTTTAAACTGCCGTCTAATGCAGCGGGTCCTTGCAGGTTTGACGTAGCCAACATGATGTCGGTGACGCTGAGCTGTGACCACCGGGTGGTGGACGGCGCGGTCGGTGCACAGTGGCTCGCAGAATTCCGCAAGTTCCTGGAGAAACCCGTCACCATGCTGTTGTGACGAGACTGTACTGCCATCAAACTGCAGCAACAGGCAGAGGCTTCTCACTGAAGCGATCCGATTGGTCTAAACTGGTCTGGATCCTCCCGTGATTGGCTGGCCCTGGCACCAGGTCACTCCCTGTTACCCAGAAGGGGAAGAGGCAGGACTCACTCTGCTTACTTGTCTGTCTCGCTTTCTTTCCTACCGATCTGTCTCCCCTCTTGCGCTTTCTCACCTATACTCTATTTATTGTGGCCCCCATCTTACACGAGACCAGAATTAGGAGCAACTTACCCTAGAAGAGCAACTGACTGTGCGTCACTAAAAAGGGAAGTGTTACATGTCAAACCAGAGAGCAAATCTATCCCGTACACCCCTATTTCTGCCAACTTGCATACGGGAATCTGTGAATGTTAGAAAATAGGAAATGCTATTTGTGGATAAAAGATTTAAGCTGTTTGTATGCTTGTTGGGGATCTAAATGTTGAGGCTCACACAGATCTACACACCTGTCCCTGTTATGATCCCAGACACTCAAAATACAAGATGTTTTCTGTAGGGAGGGTGAAGCTAGGGTTATGTATATTGACTGTGGATGAAAAGAGTTGTATGTGTATATTTGTATATGGTGGTGAGACGTTTGGATAAAAACAAATCAAGCTCTTGGAGACCTCACCATAGAACTTAATAACTGTATAGCTCAGAATGAAAAAGGCTGCCCTTACAGGAAATATTCAACAGTTTTGCCAAATCTCTCTTCAGCGGGGATGTTTTGTTTTCTAGTCTCAAACATTCTGTATTTCACAGCTGGAACGCACAAAGGTGGTGCTGGATGCTATTTGTAATTTGAATAAACTGGGTGAAGACAACCTTGTGCCATAAGCTCCTTTGTTTTGTTGTTGTTGGAAGACTTGATGTAAGATTGCATTCACACACGGTGATCTGCCCAAATCGAAGTGCAAGTGATGTACCTTTCTTGGGCATTGGTCTGATTGCAAACGACACCTGAACCTGGAGCCTCAATGACCACATTGGTTCAGGTATGTGGATGACATCTAGGTGAAAATCAAATCTCAGGATGTGCCACAGTTCACTGATCACATTAACTCTGTGGACCAACACAACTTTGCCAGTGAAGATATGAAAAGTGAAAGGTTAGCCTTCTTAGACTGAGATTTCCATCAGTAATGGGAGACATTTAAAAACTGCTTTGTACCATAAACCTACACATATGGATCAGACTCTCATCACACTCTGGAGAAGAAACTGGGTGTCATCAGAACGTTACAACACAGCGTGGATATCATCCCCACAGATATGGTGGCCAGGGGAGCAGAAAAGCATATCAAGAAGGCCCTGAGTAAATGTGGTTATCCCAGCAGGACTTTTGTCAAAGCTGGAAAGGCACCTAAAGAAAGCTCCAGGCGATCCAGGAGAGAACAAGGACAACTGCTGTCTAAGTGAAAACCTTTTGTGATCCACAACGTACCATTTCAGTCAATTTTTCATGTTAAAAATATGGGTGGATGATGAATCAAAGGAAAAGCCTGAATGTTTGACTCCTACAGTGAGTAGAGCTGGTGGATGTGTCTTTGTGTGTGTGTGGTAGCGGTGGAAAAAAGAATGAATCGCTGCACATCTGTGTCTAATATCTGTTCCCTATCATCACCTTCATCCTTCGAAGCATTTCTATCTCAGTGGGAGTGCCTCCATCTGAAGAACTTAATAGTTTAATGATGCCATAAACTTTGTAGTCCAGATCTTTTTTTTCCCTTCATATGTTGGTGCTGTTCTGGGTGCGGATGGCGTAGGCATTTATTCAAATCCCCATGGTATCACAAATCTCTCTCTCTACATATATATACATACACATACATGGAGCACCACTCTTCTACAGCCCATCCGATTTCCACAGCACAGTTGGGTCTTTCTCCATGAACCATTACAGTGAAACATGGCAGCATTTACTTATGTTCCCATATGAATTCCATAAATGTGACAACAGTTTATATGTTTAGACGACGACTGCAGAACGTGCCCGGCAGATCGACTTAGTGAGTCATTACTTAGTGAACACATTTTATGTAAATACATCAAAGAGGAGCTCTGGTGGATTTTTATTTTGCCTGTAGGTCATAACGGAAGGATGTCATCATCTGATGGCTCTTCTAGTCTCAAAAACATGCCTCTGAACATTTCTTTGCACCACTGACGACCTTCATTTTTTCTTGAAGCCTTGAAGCTGTAAATAACCAGATGATGCAAAATGTTAAAGCTGTTTTTTTGGCCTCTTACCACAACGGCAGAGAGCGTGGATTTTTGGCTTTATGGTAAAAACAAAATGCCCAAAAGCTTATTTGAGACAACACCCAAAAGTCTGAAGCTCTTCGGTTGTTTGTTTGAATCCAGGCTCGGGCCTTTCTGTGGTCTCATGTCTGTGTGGGTTATCTCAGGTACTCCGGCCTCCTCCCACATACCAAATACATGCGTGCGTTTAGGTCAATTGGTGATTCTAACTTGACCAGGATGGGTTCACCCTGGACAGGTCTCTGTATTTTGACTGAAATCAGCTCGGGCCCCCTCAGAGACCCCGGATTGCATAGATGGAAGAAGCTGTATGGATTATGAACATAAATGAGCATTATTTGCTGACAAATGAATCCATTTTAAGAATATGTTCAGTTAGTTTACTATACCTGGTGCACGGATTGTTTCACCTCTGCAAAGATGAAACATAAGATGCTCCTGAATTTGGAAAACAACCATGAAGGTTTGACACTCCCATGGCCGCACCATGTTGCTTACCTCTTGCTGAATACATGCACGTTGTAGCTTCTGCAGCTGCAGTTTTCGTCACGCTACACTAACTAATTAGACTACAAGCTCACGCTGTAGGTACCACTGTAGGAACAGCTAATAGGAGCAGAAAAATTCCTTGTGCACTCGCTTACCTGACAACCTAATTAGAGAAAATTCTCCCAGCTGACAACGGGACAGAGACAGAGACAGAGAGTGAAAATAACAGGGAGGGGTTGATCGCAGCACTCGATACATTAATCATGCATGCCTGGGTTTTTTGGGCCACCAGCTTGGAGACCGTAGGGATGAGATGACTGCCTCTCTGTCTTCCCTAACAGCTATGGGTGCTACAGGGAGATGGATGTTCTGGACCTTGTGTGTGTGTTTCACCGCTCAGGAGAACAGTGAGTAGGCCTGTCTTAAGAAAAGATTGAATTATTGCTGCTTTAGTACACTGCAGCAGCTTCGAGTGTTTGAAGGATTTGCAAAGTTTCACGAATGTTTGCTGCGACTCTGTGATTCTTTGCACGGATATTGCTAAGGCAGAATTTTCCTTCTCTAGTGTAAAAGGAGACGTGACATGAATAACCTAAAACCTTATGAGTATTTAGAAAGAAGCATTTAAGCTTTTCCAGACAGAAATGTAAGACTGTGGGCGACCTCTTGATGCATGCGTGGACTGTTCGCTGTATACACATGCACAAATTCATCAAATGAGATGATATTTATTTAGTACGAGCTACAGGGGCTTTATTCATGTTAGTGCCGTTATTAATCAACTGCCTCTAAAGCGTGACCTTTTAATATTAATACAATACAGTATGTTTGACATTTTGAGTCTTAATGAAAGTCTCTCTTGAGGCCAGCATTTTCAGAACTTGTGATCTACGTAAAAACAACAAGAGAAATGACCAAACACATCCTAGTGAAGTGGCCTGTTGTTCTTCTCGTCCTGTGACGGATCTGGCTCAACCTCAGAGCTGTCAAGTTTAATTAACGACGACTGTGCTCGCTCAATTCCCACGCACACAAAAGGGCCCGGGGATGGCAGAGAGGAGGAGGGAGGAGGTTCATTATTGCAGTAATGAAGGGGAGAGTGAGGCCTGGTGCTGTCTGCACGTCAGCAGAAAAACAGCAGATGGGTGACGATAAAACAAGAAGAAATACCTGTGTGATGTCATAGGTATGGCTCGTCTCATTTGAATCTTTCCCCCCCTCCTAGCTGCGCTCAGGGTAACCATGAGAGAATCCAGTCTGGAGGTGGCTCGAGGGGATTTTGTCGTCCTGCCCTGCTCCTTCTACACCTCCGCCTCCAACCACCTCTCCAGACTCAACATCATCTGGACGCTGACTCCCTTCTCCAGTCCAGAAGCCCCAATACAGGTGTGGCAATACATCTGTCAGGGTGATGCCTTGCAATTGCATATTTTAGCATGGCTGTAGCTCATGGGGTGGAGCAGGCGATCTGCTAATTAGAGGCTTGGCGGTTAGGTTCCCTGGCTGCTCCCGTCTGCATGCCAAAGTATCTGTGGGCAAGATACTGAAGAGAAATGTCTTCACACAGAAAGAACAACCCTGTAGTGCGTCACATAGACAGCACTTGAGAATGAGGCATGTTGTATAAAGCCTTTTGAGTGTTCAGGTAGAAAGGTGCTATATAAGTTCCAGTCCATTTATATTCTCTACATATCCTGTTGTGTTCGAGTAACTTTTGTTTTAAATCAGTTTATTTCAAACTTAAGGCACAGGGGCCAGAAGTGGCCCGGTAAACACTCCAATCTGGCCCCCTGGACGGCTTTGGAAAATGTGAAACAGGGAATAAGTTTTACAGCTTTTCCTTCTGGCAAAGGTCTTCCCAGTGACCATTCATACTGCACCACACACACACACACACACACCAAATCCAAATTTTAAAAAAGGACATTTTCTGTGAATTAACAAAAACTTTGTTTCATTGTTACAGGACAAACTGTGAAATGAGCTTCCAGAACTTTTTCTGCATATTTTCTACAATTTAAGCCTAAAACATCGATCTGACTGATTTTGTTTTTTCACTTACTGCAGCAGCATTTCTTTATTGGGTAGAAGAACTGAGGCGTACCATTAAAACTGCAGTTATTTTCTTATATATCCCCAGGATTAAATGTGTAGCTAAACATCTTTACACTTAAGATCAAAGTGTTTGTGGCCCACAATGTAAATGGACTTTGACATCCTTGTTTTAATTGATTTCCAGGTGATTGTGTACGATCACGGGCAGGTGATTGAAGACCCCTCCCTCATTGGCAGGGTGGGTTTCACAGGTAAAATGTAAGATGATCCTCTTTTCATAGATGAAACTTGATACTGAAGAGGGACAAAAACATTATTTCATGTGCTCCTTGTGCAGGTCTTCCTTTGAGTGCAGATATCATGCTGAACGACACACGGGTCTCAGATGCTGGTATTTACCGCTGCATGGTTAACAACCCACCGGAGATTACAGATCCCGGCATCGGAGAGCTGGTGCTCAGTGTTCTGGGTAAGTTATTGAGAGTTGAGCAGCTGGCAGAAGCACTCGCACATTATGACCATTTACCAAAGCAGGAATTGGTGATCCATTTGTCTTTTTTTTTCTCTGTGATTCTGACTATGATATTTGTTGTTTTCCAAACCAAATCTGCCAAAACTGCTGTGGATTTATTTGTAAAGCAAATACCGAGGAGCCAAACAGGTTAGGTTAATTAAAACATTTGTAGCCCTGCCGACAGCAATCGTGGTGCTGCTGGTGAGTCTGTTTTTTAGTTCAGACTCACACAATTTTCTAGATACAATCATGCGGCCGAGGGGAGGTTTCCTAATGACTTTGGTGGCTCTGTGACTTTTCCTCCAATGAACAACCTGCTGGGAAGATTTCTATAATATTTGGCAACACACATTCACACAGCTCTTAGGGTGAATTCTGCTATCTTAGTTGATAAACCGAGTTTGTCTCTGGTGTGAATCGGCTGATAAAGACATAATGTTGTTCAGTGCTTTGGTTGAAGCAGAGCGCATCCAATAAAGGAAAAATATTTTGAAACCTTATCAGATCTCATAATTTTGACAGAGAATTGCACAATCCCTGAAGGTTAAAACTGATTTGGGAGAGCTGCTATAACGTGAGTGTAATGTGATAAAAGGTTTGTCTAAAGTAAATCCAGCAGTTCCCATGCTTTTGGGACAAAGGACGCATAATCTGAATAGAGGTGAAGCATATGCTTAGAAGCACTTTTGTTCTTGGAAGTCAAAATTTCAGCTCATCTCAAATTTTTGAGTTATGAGCCTTAATTTGCTCAAACTTCTAAGTCAAATTTTTAAGATAACTCAAACCTTTGAGACAATAACCTGAAATTCTGACCTATAAATAGCAACTTTATTTTTTCAGTGGCAGAAATAAGCTTCTGCAGAGCAAAGCCAGGACGAGCATGTTCTGTTGTTACAGCAACATTACTTGTTGTAACAATAAAACAAGACTATTTTAAACTGTGTTGTCACATGTTGATATGACAACACAGTTGACCACAACCCCCCAAAATATACACCATTAACTTTAGCTGTAATACAGATAAAAAGCACAGATAATGTGAAATTTGGAATGCTATCCCAGAGGCATACATTGATAAATCCATTTATACAAGAGAGTTTAAATGTTATTGAGTCAGCGGTTTGCCAGATAGTTTAATTTTTACAGACCATCTTTCAGCTTTGCTTCTAAAAGCCACCGGCTTAAAAGTTCAAATGTGGGTCGTCTCGGTTTGTATCACATCTTTTAAGAAATTCATCTGTGGGTCATCTATAGTGCCGCCTTCGCTGCCTGTGTGCCAGTGGGATGGAGACATCAATATGGGAGGAAGTGTCAGGCTGTCCTGCTTGGTGGCAGAGGGCATCCCCACTCCAGAGATCCGCTGGGATAAACTGAATCCAGATGAAATCTCCCTTCCCATCAACATGGAGAGTCAGTTACACACACACACGGATATGTATTAAACTTAAAGCACCCCTTGAGCTGAATCAAAATAATCGTGTGCGCAGATCGTTATTTAGATCTTAAAGTCCAAAAAGAGTCAACTAAATGACCCTAAAATGACGCACAGTAAATGTTTGAATTTAATAGTGCAAGTGAAATATGATGGATATTATAATTGAGTCCATTATAGCGCAATAAGGCTTCCGGCTATGACAAGCAGATTTAGTGCCTATTAAAAAGTATTTAACCACTTGGTGGCTTTTTCACTTAAGGCAAAAACACACACACACGGGTCTGCTATAGAAAAAAAAGGAAGGCGTATTAAAGTCATAAGTGTTTTAAAATAAAAGTGTATTTAGGACTGTTTAAATGGAAGAGAAATTTAGTATTGCACTTCTTAGAAAAACAAAATCGACTATTTAAAGAAAGGATGGACTGAATTGGAGCATCATTAGCAAATATAACTTTAACTTTAGTCTCCAGTGTATGGGATAAGCTTTTTATTTCAGTTTTTCCCCACAGAAATAATTATGTCACTCAGCATGAGACCTGTGGCTAAAACACAAGTTTTACCAGATCTGGTACAAAAGAGCTTTTATCAAAGATCTTTGATTTAAAAAGAAAAAAAGCTTTTCTATATAAACACTTGAGTGGAAAGAAATGTCATCATCATGAAGGTTATTCTCCCACTAATGCATATCATTAACTCCTGCTTTGTGTTTTGTCCTGTTTGCTGTCTGGTGGTTTCCAAATGCTCACTTTCACTCACTCCCTCACTGGTTGGAGCAGATGGCTTCTCCTCCCTGAGCCTGGTTCTGCTGGAGGTCTCTTCCTATTAATAGGGAGCTCTTCTTACCCATTAGCCTGCTGGGCTTCTCTCCCCAATACTGTAGGGTTTTTTCTTTAAATGTAAACTTCCTTCAGATAACTTTTGTTGTAAACAGGTGTTATATAAACCGAATTAAAGTGAATTTAATAACATAAAGTAGTCAAATGCTCTTTAAAAAGAGCACTGATGTGTTCTTGCTTATTTTCTCTCAGGTTAAATACTCATACATGACACACGCTTTAGATATTAGCGTTCACACATGTGCAGGTGATCCTAAGTGCTCTAAATTATTGTTTTTTGACAGTTTTTTCTACTCTTAGGAGGATATGATAAATATGACTACCTCGCAGCCACAGGTACTCGGTATAGTGGCCCCAACCCACCAGCTTGTCAGATCTTTTGCTTCTGATGGGCACCCAATCAGGAGAAGGTTTCTTTGAAGTAGTGCGGAGATCCTCAAAGAGAGGGAAGCTCAGTTTGTCCTCTTCAGATGGTGGATGAAATAAAGCCATTTATAGGATCAATAAGGATTATTTTGAAACATGAATAATGTAAAGAGTTCAAGCTTAAAAATACATATTCCTGGAAATAAGCTTAATACTCCACTTAAAAATAATTAAAGGAATACCTAGAAACACAACTGATCTCATTGGGGGGAAAAAATCATGCCGGATATCTATATTGATGTGGACCGGGTAACAGAAGAAAGGATGCCACCTTGTTTGATGGAAATGAAAATTATTAACCTACAGAAGACTAAATTCAAAGACAAATTCAAAGGGATCTCCTCCCAGATCTGGACCAGGGCATCACTGAGCTCTGGACTGTCTGAACTGCACCCTGGCAGTGTCGGATGGACTGAAACATAAAGTCCCAGAGGTGTTCTATTGGAGCCAGTCAATGATATCAATACCTTAATTCTCCAGAAACTGTCTGCATTTTCTCACCACGTGAAGTTGTGTTATTGTCAAACACCACAAGGAACCCAGGACCCACTGCACCAGCGTAGAGTCTGACAATCCAAGGATTTCATCCTGATATCTAATGGGTCAGGGTGCCGTTGCCTAGATGATCAGATCCTGGTACTGCTGATGGTTTAAGGACCTTCTACGGCCCTGTCCTGCTCTCCTAGAGTAACTGCCTGTCTCCTCCATGCTCTTGAGACTGTGCTGGGAGACACAGCAAACCTTCTGTCAATGGCACATAGTTATGTGTTATCCTGGAGCAGTTGGCCCTGACCCTAGGGGTGAGTATTTCCTAATACTCACCCCAGCTTGTCTGACACCACCAACCACTACTGAAAACAGTCAGAAAAAATGAGAAGGACAAAAATGGCAGAGTCCTCCACCATGTAAAACCATTCCTGTCTTGGTGGTTGTCTTATTGTTGGCCTTCAATGCCCCTGTTGTTATTGTCATTAACAGCAAAGCAGCTGAAACCGATTAACAACCCCCTCTGATACTTAAGTCACCACATCTATATCCCAGAAAGTTTAACTGCCTTAACGCTATATTCTGATTAAAAAGTGTTCCTTTCTAATTTTTTAGCCATTATATAATGCTGGAAGTTTAATTAAGCATGAGATTTGTAAGACAGCGCACTCACCGTCATACTCGTCTTCCTCTCTCTAAGGTGAACTATCAGGCTCTGTTCAAATTGTCAACGTGTCCTCTCAGACCTCCGGCCTGTACCGATGCTCCGCCACTAACACCCTGGGAACAGAGAACTGCTACATCAACTTATCCATCTACAGCAGTAAGATCCTCTTTGTGCACCCATAACCCTCTGCCAGTTTTTATGCCCTGTGATAAAACGTTCTTGTATTTCTGCCCAGCCCCAGACAGTCCCTCTGGTGTACTGCAGGGTGTGCTGCTGACCTTGTCTATGTGCCTGCTGTTGCTGGCTTTGCTGGTGCTCGTTCTGTGGCTCCATCACACAGGGCAGGATGGGAGGTTGAGGAAGGGGAGAGGAGACAAGGATGAGTTTTATAACGAGATACGGTACACGCCGTCCCTGATGAAACGCTCTTTTGTTTGATTTCTCAAGGACTTTCGGGACTTTTTAATGTATCCATGTAAAAGATGTCTGCAGCCCAGACCAGTGTTCCCTGAATGTTACTCCACAGCTGTAAAGCATCAGAAACTTTGAAATAAAAGTGGAATAAATGTTCTGAAAGGTGTAATAGCAATGCGTCTCATTTATGCTCATTTCCTCCAAACCGGCTTTTAAAGGTAACCATCAATGATCCCCTCAGCTTTAACCAAAGACAAAAAACTGCACTCAAAGTCAAGTCACCATCTTTCATGTAAGTTTTCCCTGTTTTTGGTCATAATTCTGAGCTAAGCTCTTACCTGGCTTCTGCTTCACATGGACCTCGCGAACAAGAGAGGAATCATCTAACTTCTCAATAAAACAAATACCTACATTTCCCTGAAAGTGTCAGGCAAGAATATTTATGCACATTATCACAGTCGATAAATTTAGGTTGCCAGTGGAAAATGTCATTGGGTTTTCATTCCAACTCTTCCTTGAACTGGTTAAGCAGCTATTTAGATCATAGGTTTCAGTATGTGCAGTGTTTAGGCAATTCATCTGATAGAATGAAAATAGAAGGTGGGGTCCCTCAAGGTTCTGTTTTAGGACCAAAACTTTTTAATTTATATATAAATGACATTTGTGATGTGTCAAAAATGTTAAATTTTGTTTTGTTTGCAGACGATACAAATTTTTTTTTTTGTTGCGAGAAAACTTGAAAGAATTGGTTAAAATTATGGTTTTTGAAATGAAAAAAATTAAAAAATGGTTTGATGTAAATGAGTTATCGCTGAATATGGAAAAAACAAAGTTTATGATATTCGGAAACTGTGTAAACCTGAAGAGATAGTATTATCTATAGAGGGAGTATTAATTGAAAGAGTGACAGAATTCCGTTTTATGGGTGTAATAGTGGATGACAAGTTAACATGGAAATATATTATACATATTGAAGATGTTAAAAAAAGGTTGGCTAAAAGTATTTATATCCTGGGTAATGTTAGATATATATTAGATTACAAGACAATGAGAATATTATATTTTTCATTGTTTCTACCCTATCTGAGTTATTGTGTTGAAGTATGGGGGAATACATACGTGACTAATATGAAACCATTATATTTATTACAGAAGAGAGCGCTTCGAATTATGCATAATGTTAAATATAGAGAACACACTAATAATTTGTTTATAGTGACATAGTGACATAGTGAAATTACAGACTTTAACTATTATATTTAGAGCGAAAAATAAAATACTACCTCTTAAGTTACAAAGTTTATTTGTATTGTGTTCAGAAAATGGGGACGGCAGAAGGAAGTTTTATTTTAAGCATCGGTTTGCTCGAACCACACAAAGGCAAATGTGTCCAACAGTCATAGGCATAAGAAACTGGAATTCTCTCAGTGATCATCTTAAGTGTTGTATAAATGTTTCTCAATTTAAAATCTGCTATAAGAATAAAATGATAAACCAGTATGAAGAAGTTGAAAATAATAGAATTTAATTGTAGAAAAATGATCCTTTTAGTTTGATATTTAGTGGTATTGTTCATTGTTGAGTATATTGTTCTGTTTGTTTTGTTTTGTTATGTGCAGAATATTGTCATAGTGTAATTTTGGTTGCCTACTTGTATTATCACAGATAGGGGGCAAGTATCAATAAGAATTTATTCTTCTTCCTGCTCCTTTTCATGCATGGAAACAGTGTTACTTTAATTGAAAGGAAGGTTGTGTATGGGAATGCATTACTGCTGTACCATGTGTGAAACAAAAAAATAAAATAAAATAAAAATAAAATAAATCTCTTGAGAAAACCAAGCATTTCCCTTGGACGCGAGGTTGAACTGTTCAGTGTAAGAGGACAGTGACACTGCAATGCTTTTAGAGCATTTTTTTGAATGAATAACTCAGGATTCGAAATGGGTGGTTGTGACTAACATTTAGTTTCTGCCAAATTTCTTCAGTTAAACGTGTGAGAAACTTGCGTTTAGCGAACACATTAATTTTAAACTACAAACTGGTGACTCCACTGCCCCTTCATACTGTGAGAATATGGAGCAAGCTTATTATTATTATTATTATTATTATGTAAGGTCGCTAAACTGTGAGCAAGCCCACCAATAGTAGCAGCGTTTACACAACTTAAAAGAGGAACAGCAGAGCTGTCAATCAGTTTGGACACACCCACAGTACAAGGCAGAGGCCTTAAAGTTTGGACAACTTACAGCAGACACATTAAAAAAAGAAGAAAAAGAAAAAAATTTACTCCACTTTTGCCTTTTTTTGGCTTTTGAATATTTTCAGCAGCCACACACTGGCCATTTTATTAGGTATGCCTCACTAGTATTGGGTTGGGATCCTTTTACCTTCAGTGCTGCCTCAAAGAAGGTGCCGGAAAACATTCCTCAGAGATTTTGGTCGATGGTGACATTACATCAGCACATAATTCCAGCAGATTTGTTGGCTGCATATCCATGATATGAAGCTCCTGTTTCACCACATGCCAAAGGTGCGCCACTGGATTGAGATGTGGTGACTGTGGCAGCTGTTTGAGTACAGTGCCATAGTGCTGGAAACACTGTGGTCAAAAAGGGATGAGCATGCTCCGCAGCAATGCTTAATTGGTACCAAGTGTGCAAGAAAATATCCCCCACACCCCTCCACCACCATGCTGAACATGATGCTATCATGTTGTTTACACCAAATCCATTTTTCCTTGGGGACATTTGCGTTAACGAGAAGTTAAACAGATTACCCGATGAAGTGGACAGGTGAGCGTACAGTTTAATTAAACCCGAGTGCCCGCTCAGTGGTGCTGTTTTTACTGTAGCATAAGGCTTTAAGCTGCTAGGACAAAGATTGAAAATCCTCCAGACAAAAACAACAGCAAAAAACAGACCAACAGGACAAATGCCAGAAAATAAAATCACACAGCAGTTAATTTCCAAACAAAGACAAAAACCTTTAATTTAAATAGGAGGGGGAAAAAAATCACATAAAAAAAACTGTACAGAACATTTAACATCGACTTAAAGTTCTTAAATAAAAGACCCCGCCCCTCCAAAAGTAACTAAAAATAACAAAACTATAACAAAGTGGGATGGCGTATGATACATTTTTGTGCAAAAGAAGTATGAACCAATTCTTCCCAAACTGCACATCTTGACGTGGAGAGGGCGCATCTCTTCACTCAGGTGTCTTTCTACAGGTAAACACGAGAGTCCCTCCCCTAAACATCAGCATAGTGTCTTTGATGTAAAAAGACCCCCCCCCAAAAACAAAATCCAATAATAAAATAGATTTATATTTTAAATATATTTATATACCAAACATGCTGTACAGAACGTCAGAGATTAAGAAATCCCTTTTTTTGGACACTCACATCTGTCTGTCAACTTGTGCTTCCCCGACTCCAACTAAAAGGAAAAAAAAAAGCAAAACTGAACAAAAGTCGAGCTCCCCGTCGTTTAGAAGTAAAATAAATGAAAAAAGAAAAACAGAAAACAGCACTGATCAGAAAAGTCTCTGTTTTTCCTGAGTTGTGGGAGTTTCTAATGCAGTTTGAGATGGAAGCTGACACACTTTTACCTGTTTCTTCACAGCCACTCGAAAAAAAGGAGAAAAAACCCCAAAAAACTAAGGGCTGCTCAAAAGATTAAAAGAAAGGGGGGAGGCTGCTGAGCTTTATCTTCTAAAAAGCTTAAAATGGCTAGGGGGGGGGGACACTGCGCAGAAAAAAAAAAAATAGCCTTTAACAGCATGCAGAACATCTCTTAAAAAGAGGGACTAAAAGGGAGCAACTATTGTAAGTCTTCCTGCAGAAGCAGTCAGTTTCTTTCCCAGTATACACCCTGAGAACACTGGCCTCCATCCAACTTTCCAGCAGGGAAGGGAAAAAAAAAACAAAAAACAAAAAAAAAACCCAAAACCCAAACAAATCATTTATGAGGAAAAAGCAGCATATGGCGATTCATGCTATGGCACGAGGTCGTTTAAGAATTCTTCACCCAGTGCGAAGAGCCGGAAACCGTCGGGGACAAAGCCAGTGGACCCGGGGAAGCTTCTGGGGCTAAATCTTTTGACAGAACTGCAAGTTTTTCTTTTATTTTTTGTTTTATGAAACTCTCCCGTTTTTCTGCTTTTCACAGTGGTAAAAAAAAATAAAAATAAAGGCGTGGGAAAAGAAACAAACTTAAAGCGATTTCAGGAACACTTCCAGTTATGTTCCACACTTAAAAATAACCAAAAAGAGCCGTCGGTGAGATGGTGCAAACGTGACGACACCAAACAAACTGAGGGGAGGGGGCGGGAGGGTAGACAGAAGGCAGATTTCCAACTCAATATATCAACACACCATATAGACAAACCCCGTTAAAGACATCTGTAAGACATTATTAATCAAATAAATATTCCACCTTTGCTTTCAGTATTTATTCAGCTTTTGTTTATTTCCAACTAAAACGCTGGATTTAACTGTTGTAGAAACAGCAGTAGTAGTGGGTATTATAGTAGTAGTAGCAGGAGATGCAGAAGCAGTAGTATAGTAACAGAAAGGCCCAGACTGCAGGCAAAGAGCACACTGGGGATACACTGATGTATCAGCCAATCACATGGTCGGTTAACCAGTGGCTAATGGTTGTCGGTAGTGTCACATCAACAGCATGATGGAGAAGGAGGACTTAAAATAGTTTCATATTGAAGACGTCTTTTGTTTCCCTGGTGCAAAAGGAGGATAAGTAACTTAAAAAACAAAAGAAAAACAAGCAGCTAAAAATATATATGGGTATCAGACAAACTGTTATTTTAGACATCAGTGCATCCCTAGCAAACACAGCTCTCCTCACAAAGCAGCCTGGACCCCGGCTATTCAGAAAGCCATGAGCTCATTGGATCTGATCAGGGAGGACATTAGTGATCAGTAATCCAAAGAAAACAAACTCAGTGCACATTCGACACCGAGGGATTCGTGAAGATTCAAGTAAAAAACAAAAAATAGAAGACATTCCACTCACCAAAGCAAAAAAAAAAAAAAAAAGTTCCTTACACTCCCAGTTTGTGAATTTGTGATCAACACAATTTTTCACAGATTTGACTCGTCCTCTGTTTGATCCTGATTAATGGAAACCAGCTCTGTCTGAAGTTCTCCAGGTTGCTAGTCAGATACAGGACCCCACGATGTCCAAGCCTACATACGCTGTAAACTAGCAGTAAAAGCACCACATGTCAGCTGGGCTGGAAGGGAGTTTGTTTTTTGTTTGGAGGGGTGGGGGTGTTCCCTGAAACTTGCTCCGAGACAGAACTGTTGATATAGTCAGGCACCTCTGCAGGAAAATGGGCCAGAGTACAAGAATAATGTTTTCTTGTTTTATTTTCTTCTTCTTCCTCATATAATATGTGTATTTGTGCAGGGGAAAAGAAGTGGAGGCTCCTGAAATTAGCCAATATGTCATGTGAAATATTGTTTGATGCACAACTGTCCGGCGAGGATGGTTACATGTGGGGGGAAAACAAAAACAAGGCTTATTGTGGTCTCCACGCGTCCTTTAGTTGCACGTACAGCAATGTACTGGTCCTTTTTCTTTTTCTGGATTTATTATGAGGCCCCCCAAACAAACAGAAAAAAACCTAATGCTGCTGCAGACGCCAAGTTAGAGATTGTCCTCTAGTCTCCAGTATAGAAAAATAAACAATCCTCAAGCAAAATATCCCTTATAATTTGCACTGGCCTGTCTGGCCTGTCACTACTTTTACAACCAAATGGTTGGCTGTAGAGACAGCGAGTGCTTAGTCGGGAAAAGAAAAAAATGTAAAATTAAAAATGAGTACATCATCAGGTCTTACGAGTTGTGATGAAAGCTGACTTTGGAATAAACAGGTTGGCTAAAATGATTTCATGGTCTGACGTGCATCAGCTCAGCATGCTATGTTTAGCTCTCTCTTGACTAACAAGAAGAGTGATGTGTATATTCCCAGATCCACGCTTGATTCAAAGTGCCATCAGAGGACTTCCAAACTGTGGCTGCGCTGAGTTAGTTCAACAACAGTTCATGGAATGAGTCCCAAAGGCTGGAATGAGTCCGGACTGGACCGGTCCACATTCAACTGCGGTGTGCTTTCACTGTAGAAACTGTCAATAGTGCAGACTCAGCGCAGGTGATCAAGTAAAGGCAGCTCTGTGGATTCCTCTCTGGGAGTGGGAGGGTCCGGGGATGGATCTGTCGTCTGAGTGGCTCCCAGTGGATCTTGCGTTAGACCGGCCTCTTGTAGGGATGGAGGAGGAGCAGGCTGAAAGAGACAGATTGATAATAAGAAGACGATTAAGTGCGTTTATCAACAGCACGACCAACAAGGCAGGCAAAGAAAAGCCCACTGCTTCATATTCACAGCTGAACAAAACAAAATGATTCAACGTGCTGTCAAAATCTGTATCATCGAGGTCCAAACAAAAGCAAATCAAGTCATTCGCACAGGTACAGGTACAAAAAGGACGTCCCACTGAGCAATCTGGATCATGATCTGAGAAAGCATGCCATATTTATAAACCACTTCCTGTTTGAATTACTGAACAACAACAAGCCACTCACTGCATATGTGCATCTGTTCAAATGAGCTTAATGCAATATCTCAGTAGGTGTGACTATCGTCTGCTGTCTGCCTACCGTCTACTGTAAAGACATCATGTAGGCAGAAATATAACTAAAGATTTACTTCATTACTGATCAATCTATCAGTTCTGTTGTCTCAGAACTCCTCAGACATTTGGTCTGGTAAAATATCCCCAAACACTCTAAAAAAAAT